CACCCACACCCACACCCACACCCACACCCACCCACACCCCACACCCAACCAAACAACATGACATCAGCAAAACAAAAATGGCAAACATTTGAATTATTCTCGATAATGTTTTTTTCTTATCATTCTGCAATACCAAGAAAATTCTATTTTCAGTTGACAAATAAGTTAAGCTTCAGCAGTGCACATCAATAAACAACGTAAAATAGTAATAATACGTTACTGGGGAGAAAGTTTAAAAAAAATCCGAATTTCGTATTTTTCATGGTTCTGTTTACTATTAATTTGTGCTTTCTAAGTCTTATGTTTCGTCATCAGATGAGAGAAATAGAGACAGCTGAAGAAAAAATTACTTTAGACATTGGAACATAGAAAAGTAAGCGGTGTAAATAAAAATGAAAAGAAAATCTGAATTTCGATTGATTTATGTTTCTGTTTTTAGCGAAATTATTGTAAATAATTTTAACGATCCCTAATCGGTGAGAAAGGCTAAACTGCTGGTGATGTCATAAAAATCTTGTTTTTTATAGTGAATATAAATTCGACTCTATCGAGAAGACAGTTCGTAGGAGTAGGCAAAATACATGAAAAATGTAGATTTTGTTATATGCATATTTCTTTTAATTTGGTGATAACAAGAAATGTTTATTGGTATCTGAGTGGTTGTCTCGAACTACAGTATTCTCTGCTAGTTGAAAACTCATAAGAATAATATCGGTTGCTATGTAAAAAAGCACAAACATGATTTTAAAATTTGTTGTGCTGCTCTCTATTAAGAATTTATGATTCCAAGTAGTATTTTCAATAGGAAAGAGAAAAGTAAATAATTGACGAGGAGCAAAACAGAAGCCACAAGACACATCGAAGTTTGAATAAATAGGTAGAGTAACAGAGACGAGAAAAAGGATAGTTTTTATTTCATTCCTGTTTATGTTTATAATAAGACCTTCATTCTACGACACACATGAAAGCTACCTATGCATCTATAACCTAGAGTTTCTATTCTGCACAAAGGAATGCCATTAAAAAAAGATTCGTATACTCTCTTAAAATAATTGGGCAAAATTTCGGATTTGAATTCGAGTGTTATATACACTCCAAAAACTGAAAACGTACTGAGGACAAATTGATTTAGATTAAAGTGTTCCAAAAATCATCCTGAACAGTGGATTACTGGGAGCAATCTTCGATACATCTGAGTGGGTGGGTGTGGGTGTGTGGGTGTCGGTGTGGGTGTCGGTATGGGTGTGGGTGTCGGTATGGGTGTGGGTGTGGGTGGGTGTGGGGTGTGGATGTGGGGCGTGGGTGTAGGGTATGGGGTGTGGGTGTGGGTGGTGGGTGTCGATGTAACTGCAATGAATTGAATATGTACACCCACACCCATACCCCACACCCACACCCACACCCACACCCACACCCACACCCACACCCCGCATTAATAACAAAAAAAGGCTCATTAGTAGTCAAAAATAGGTAAAAACATGAAAAAACCATACCGCGAGCACAATTTGAGTAGGAATTTTCCTAGTGGCCATATTTGTGCGACTTTAGAAAATATACATCTTTGTAGCTTTTGAAAAGGGCTATCGAATGAGGAATACTAGAATGTTGGGCAACTTAACTTTTATAACAAAATATTTTGTGAAAGAAAAAAGTTGAAGAGAAATATTGGACATATATCGACAGTATGTCACAGTATATCAGACCGCTCTCCTACTGAATCAAATAATCAATCATTGATTCATATATAGAGTTGGAGCCTTGTTAAATAGCTATAAAATACTTAATTTTACAACTAGTTTGTCTTATCGATTTAGTGTAAAACTGAGTCGATCATGGTAGGGTCAAGTGTTGGATTAATGGCCAAAAATGAGCTATTTTGTTAGTAGGCTTTTGTTTTGAAAATTCGATTAATACACCATGAAAATAGAATCAGAATGTTAGTTTCAACATGTTCTTTCAATTGATATATGATTCAATAGAATCGGCCGAGAAAAGTCCTGTGGACCGATTTGCCTTCTTATGCGCCCCCTCCTTTACTTTTTTCGAATTATTGGCTGCGACGTCTTCTACTTCATCTCAATTATATTTTCCTCTTGAAAATTTAGTTGATTTGAAATAGATGTGATCCTAATTCGAAAAGATCGGTGACCGTTTGCGGAGGGTTTTCGACTTCTTCTCAAAAACTCTTCTAGAACTACTTCGACTTCGAATTTCGATCGATATGCAGTAGAATTTAGATACTAAACTTACCTGATGAGTCCCTTCAGCAAGGACGAAACCGGTCGTAAGTCTCTCGCTTGTGTATGTAAATCGGAAATCTTGAGTTTCTATACACACCCACCATACACCCACACCCACCCACGTGCACACCCACTCCCACACCTACACCCACACCCACCCACACCCACACCCACACACCCTTTTTCTTGTGTAGAAGCATTAATAGTCAGCATCACTAAAAAGCATTTTAAGTTAGTTGAAAAACTTCAATGTCGGACACAGTAAATTGTTTTTCTCCAGTGAATGTGTTATTACCCTTTCCAGTCGTATCAAGGTATCCTGATGGGAATTTAGTGTGGCTTTGATTGTTTCCGTTGCTGCCGTTTGCCACGTAGATATCATGACCACTACCAAATGTAGGACCATAATCGCTGTTATGATAAACTGCATTTCCTACATGTGCAGAGTCTATGAGATATTTAGTGGGTGGAATATTATGAGGATTTGTTAAAGTGAATAAGAATGCTGTACTATCACTCTTATACGAACCATCAGATTTCCATGGGATAGATGTATAACCTCCAAAAATGTAATTCTTATTTGATTGAATGATTGTTATTGTTGGACCTTTCTTATTACAACGTGAATGAAATGTATTCGAATTAAATCCATCACGTGATGCTTTGTAAATCAATTCCCATTGTTGATAAGCCTTATCAAGAAACGCATTCAGTTTCTTCTTATCTTCTTTTCGAAGTAAATTTCCGTAAGGAGAATAAGCACTCAGTTTATCCATTAGACTATGCAAATGAAAATAATCGGCTTCGATGAAAAGACTTTTTACAAGTACTTTATCTTTCATAACATTATCCGACAACTCGTTTGTACGCATATATTCAAGGATGTGAGCAAATAGTGTGCTATTTCGATCGATGAATATGCTTTTATCAACGGGATTTCTTTCAAGCTGCCATTGTGCAGAGAAAAGCGCTGTAAAGAAAGTGTTTTTTTCTCGTGTTAATGTTTCAACACTTGTAACAAATTTTTGGCCTCCAACGTCGAGTGTCACTCTACCTTTAGCCGATGGTGTTGCCAATCTAACTTTAATATCTCTCCATTCTCTTTCTTCGTTTGATGCGACAGATAACTCTTTTTCTAAAGTGGCTGTAATTTCTGCTGCGTCACGACTTAGCTTTTTAGCCGATTTAATACAATCACAGCATTCATTTAGCTTCGAAATAACGTCTTCACGTAATTGATTGAAACGAGTTTCGAGTTGATTAACACTGTCCCGAACGGTGTCTAGATTAGAAATCATGGCTGTTGTTTTCTTCTGAAATGATCATTTGTGCATTGGATTATTGTTCAAGATTCAAAAGAAAAGAAATGATTTTCGTTGTTTTCCTTCACGTTGAAACAGATGAATTATGTAGCCAGGGTCAATCACGCTCGGCCGTAAATGGTCGTTCACTAACCAAATACGGCGAATAACGGGAGCTGCTTACGGTAGCTATTTACGGCAGCAGTAAATGATGGTTTACAGTAAATTACAGTAATCGTTCACGATGTCCGTAAAAGTCTATCGTGAACTACTGTCGTAACAATACGGTGACTGTATATTTGAGTCGGAAAACAATGTAAGGTATCGTATACGTCATCTCTTTGGAGTGGCCGTTTACAACAGTCGCACCTAATGCTTTACGGGATACTACGGTCATTGTAAACATTGACCATAAAATATCACCTGAGATCACTAGCCCGGTAACGCGACCACTGTATTCGCTGATATTATAGAATGTCGTAAGACACAGCAACCGTTAGCAGTATACGAGTCCCTTACGGTGATCGTAAACAATCTTTTATGATACTTTGCAGCAGTTGCAAGCAATTAACATAAAAAGCCACCGTGCACGACATTTGTGACAATATGCCGACTGCGTATATTAGTCGCATAATATCGCCACGTACTCTCTCTGTCTACCAAAAGCAAGCTAAAATGGAAATACTACCTTTTTCATCTCATTTCATCGTAAAGCATCATTATCGTCAGCAAATCTGTATCTAGATCAATGACGCACGCAGAGGGTGTAAGAGCTGGCGCTCACCACTGAAACACAATAAAAACTACTTGACAGCTGCTAAGTTGCTGATCAGCTGCTGAATTGCCCATAAATGTGCGGAGGTTCTAACCAGGTGATGCGGTGAAAGACAAATGAATGCCATTATTATCCCTTTGGCCTAGGTACTCAGGTTTTATTTTTGGTTTGTGCTTCGATATCAATTTCACATTCATAGGCAAGGAAGGAACCCGGACATACACCCATCAATCGATGAAGGATCTACAGGAACCCAAGGATTCATCCAAATATCGCCTGTATATGTCCTTATAATAAGGCAAAAGGCCTCCTGAATTTTGATTGGTCCATTTTCATCAGCCAATCAAAATCCGTGTTTTTATATCTCGATGAAGCGATAGTAAGGAACCCAGACATATACTCATCAATCGATAGAGCATCCTCAAGAATCCTAGGATGGGCCCGAACATGGTCAGCAGTTATCCTTATAATAAAGAAGAAAAGGCCTCCTGAAATATGGTTGGTTCATTTTTATCAGCCAATTAAAACTCGCGCAGCTATATTTCGACAAGCGAACGGGAGGAGACCCAGACATATATCCACCAATCGATAGAGCGTCCGTAAAGACCTCAGATTGACACGAACATGGCCAGTATACAAGTTTTTTCTTTGGATGAAAGATGTGGGAGAACTATACTGTTACTTTTTGACTATGCTGCTGGTACCGCTTACGGCTGTATACGGCACGGCGGAATGCGGCCGTATAGTTTCGGTGTTTGGTGACCGTATACGGCAGTCGTATACGATGACTGTATGTGGCCGTTGACAGCCATAAAAAGTGGCTTATGGCCGTGTAGGTTGTCCAAAATGGCCGTACCCATTTGCTCATGTTTAGCGTTAAGTCGAAATTACAGTCGTGCACGGTAGCCGCCTACTACTGTTTCTGCTCACCATATTGAGTCCCGGGAGGACAATCAAACTGAATTTCCAGGAGACAAAAATTGCAATAACTCAATCGTTGTGTTTATTTTCTTTTCTGTGTATGGATCGAATTCGTGATGAAGCTGCAAAACTGACACATTCTCCAAAGCTATTCACAATGCTGAAGGAACATAATAAGTATGAAATTTGAATTGTTCTTCTATTCCATGAAAAGAAGCAAGTAATGGTGCAAAGTTTATTTACAAACTTTCACCTTGGCGTTGTTGATGGATTCTCATTTCGCTGAAAGACAGCAGGTGTGATTATGTGAACGCGTTTGTTGGCTTGAGTTTCAGTGTGAATAGATGCGAATGTGGGCAGAAATCTGACTGCAGCTTGGTATTTTAAATGCAAGTGTTGATATTAATCATCGTGTGGGTTGCCATGTATCTGTAAGGGTAGTTGGATGTGGGTGTGTAGGAAGTGGTGTGCGTATGGATGTGGGTGAAGTGGCATCGGTGTTAGTATGGATGTAGTAGGCGGCTCAGTGTCGGTTCCTGTCTTGGTTTAGGTATAGGTGTGGGTGTGGTTAAGAATCAAGGACAAAGACACCCACACTCAGCCCCCTCGATCCTCAAGATCTGTTATTCGGGTATCTTTGCGCGCTCAAATCATTTTATATCGGACTACTATTATATCCTCAATTCCTGCTTTTCGGGGGTACCCTCATTGCCTGAAGTCGTACTATTGGGAGGCGTTCTCGGATCATTAAATCTCACTGTTGAGAGGCACTCTTAGGCCCTTAAGTCCAATGAGCGGGGGTAGTATTCAATCCTCAGGTACCTTTACAGGAGCACCATTCAGTTCTGGGTGTGGATATGGACGGTTGTGAGGATTGGGTGTGAGTGAGTGTGACTGTAGGATGTGTAAGTGTGGGAGTGAATGGGTGTGGCTGTGGAGTGTGTAGGTGTGGAAATGACTGTGACTGTGGCGTGTGGAAGTGTGGATGTGGGGTTTGGGGTGAGAGGGGAGGAAGGGCGGTAAGTGTCTAGCTATAGGTTGGGTATGGGTGACTGTGGGCGTGCCGTGTAAGAGTATGGGATCTGGGTCTGCACATAGATGTGGATGTGGCCGTGGATATGAGGGTTGCTGTAGCCGTGGATGAGTGTGAGTACCATTACTCGCCCCAGCCATTCACATCCATAGCCGCAGATGTGTGAAGCTATTACATTCTGTTAACCCTTTGAGTCCGGGATTATTTTTATTTAGTAAAAAGAACGGGAAATGATTGATAGACAAATCGGTCCTAGAAAATTGTTTTATTCGAAACCCCAACTATATTATACCAAATGAAAGAGCTCGGTGAGTTGAACATTTTTTGTGACGGAACTTTGTCTTTTAAATGAAACCATGAAGAGTTCTGACCGTGACAACGACTAAAAGAGCTGAAATTTTGCAAGTTAGCTTACCCAGAACTCTTCATGGTTTCATTTATTAGACCAAATTTCGTCACAAAAAGTGTTCAACTCACCGAGCTTTTTCGTTTGATATAATACAGTGGAGTTTCGAATAAAAATTTCTTTCAGACCGATTTGTCTATCAACCGTCCCTCATCTGTTTTACTATATAAAAATAATCTCGTACTCAAAGAATTAAGGAACAACTAATAATCATCAGTAAATATAGATGATCTGAACCGTACAAATATCCTAGACGTAAATATTCATGCAATTCATGTCATCAAATAATCAACAGATCATGCTTTTCAAAGTTATTCAGGTCGAAAAATATCAGGACGCGAATTCGCGTCGCCCGGACTCAAAGGGTTAACTACCCATGTAAAAATTTTTATCCAAAAAAGTGACTATTAAGTGCTTTCAATAGTAGGTTTTAAGCAGGACAAAGTACTTATAAGTGAACCTTTTTAAGTACTTTTCGTACTTTTTGACTAAAAAGTACTATTAAGTACTTTTGAAAGGAGGAAAAGTATGAGAAAGTACTATAGAAAGTGGAAAAATTATCAAAAAGTACTATAAAAAGTGAAAAATAGTAAGAAAAGTTACTTTATTTTACTTTATTACTATTAAAAGTGATAAAAAGTGACTTTTGGTTCACTTTTCTTTTACATGGGTAGTCATGACTCGATGATTTTATCGTCCTCTGTCCACTTTATTCCTATTATTCACTGACACATTCACGGCGATAGGACTCACCGGTGGGCTCCACTCCATTTTCACAAGAAATTTGATAAAAAAAGTATATTTTTTTCCGTTTTTCCTTGGGCAGGAGGTTATACGTAACGTGTGATCTGCTGTGTCTCACTAGTTTTTTGAATTCTTTATTACATAGAATAATGTTTCTCTTAAAGTTATGAAGAGAAAAAAAATTATTAGAATCAGAACAGAAAGTTTTTATTTGCTTCATTGTTCCATGATACGCTTCTCTTGATTGTTGTTTCCTGTCATTCTCACTACTACCAGCACAGCGTCTTCGGGTATTGCGTGAAGTTCCTTCCTTTTCTTCGAGCTTGTGATCAGCTAGTTTGTGACTCAGACGACTTGTTGATTGTTGTCTAGGACCAAGTTGTAGCTCTTTGAATGGTATACAAAGAAGTAAGGATCGTACTAGAATTTTCGAAACTGGCATCGTCGTATGATTTGTGTCATAAATGCTTGTAAATCAAACAGGTATTAACTATTGCCATTCCAAGTAGCAAACTAAAATGCCATCTTTTTCTACTATTTTGTTCACCGTCTGAGACATGTGTACTATGTTGATAGTTGATCTGATAAATCACTCCCTTGTGGGGTGTGGGTGCTGGTGGAGGGTATTGTATCTCTTCATCTGCAACTACACCCACACCCCACCCCAAGACTAGCCATCGGATCCTATTTTCTGGTATAAATGGTGAAATTCCAAGTGTATCCATTTCTGTCCGCTAACTTGTATATCTTCAAGCCATATTTGTGCACTTTTCCAGGAATATATTGTTTAATCAAAAGCCTTCCTTGCCGTGATATCATTTTTTAATTGATAGTAATAATTGAGACAGGGGTGTCAACAGATTCAAATCTGACTCAGAGGATCTAAAAGTGATTTCAATTTGAATAGTCTATCTTGATCACTATGCTCCTCTTCATTATTCGGGAAATGAAAAATCTTGAGAAGCATTTCAAAATTGTCTGTCGGTATTGTATTTTGAATGATTTCAGATCCATACAATTTGCTTTTATTTCAGTAGTAGTCCATTTCCGGCATTTACACCAACCCCATCTCGATGATAATTCCCGAAAAATTAAGCATTTCTTCATTATTATTTGATTGCTATGGACGAGTTTTTGATTGATTACTAAGATTCTGAGTTCACAAGTATTGCTCTGCATATTGATTTGTTTCGCGGATCATTAGACTAATAATTTTGTCAGTGATGAAATGTGGATAGCAATCAATGGGATTGATTGTATTATCTTCTGAAGCTGGCCTTACTTCTTGGATGATTTCACAGTTCTCCGGGAATTCATCATCCGATTCTAGTTCAATTTCGTTCCAGACTTGTAAATCCACGTCATCATCAACAATTTCTTCTTTGAAGCTTAAAGATTCAAACTGCATTCTAGCAAAATCATATTTCAAACCACTCACATCACCCAGTGAGTTGTTGCTATGGTCTGTATCACTTTCTTCAAACGATATGTAATTTGTTAACGAGTGAAAACAATCTAAGTGCTTGTATTTATCTCTTTGATCTATTTTCTAATCGATCACATATTATATACGCACAAAGCACTAGGAAATAACCAACGACAGATGAAAGAACCATAAACAAGTGGAAATATCTCTGAACAATATGAAAGAAAAGAATGTGTGGAATGTACATGAATGAAAGGAAAGAAAATATATAATTATATTTATATCGTGCATATCAGCTGTACGATTGTAGAAAAGAAAAGAAGAAAAGATATAAGCGGCTCACATTATAACATAATTCATCGCAAAATTTCATTTTTTTTTATAAATTCGAGAGAAAAGAGTAAAAGATAATGCTACAAAAGGAATACAAAAGAAAAAAAATTGAAACTTTCTCTTTCATCTCGTTCCTACTGTCCGATAGATAAGAGAGAAGAAAACAAGCTTGAGTAATTATTCAGTTTGGCGTGAAAAGGAATTGCCGATGCAACAATGTAAACAAAAAAAAGCAAAAGAATTAGTATTATATACTAAACAGACCAGTAAGTGCGTTTATCAAAAGGAAAACCTTCATAGAAATGAATCTGTCAAAGCTATTTTTTAACAAAATCGAATCGCCGTGAATGTGTTAAGATTATGTACACACATTTTGTGTCAAGAAGACAATGTTGCAGGGATAAAATGCAGAGCGGACAAATTAGTGTAAAGACAAACAGCCATCTAAACAACACCTTGCAATATAATATCGTATTAAAAAAAAAATGGCAGTTCATAAGTCACATAAGAACATCTACTCTTGCCTCTTCAAGAATGCGATGTACGTCGGAACATTTGAATAGTTCGTGATATAGAGTGTAAGTGGGTTTGGCTCATGAGTTTCACTGTAGGTATTGTCATGAACATATCTATATGTATGCTAATGGTGAGGGAAACAGATTTGAGCGTAAGTTAAGCAGCTTATAGCTGTCCTCAATACAGACCTGCTCCTCATACTGCTGTAATATGTATATGAATAGTCATACCCTCGCTGTTAAACAAAGACTCGTCGAAATGTGCTAATCATGTCATAGTAGTGTCACCAATATCATTTTTTTGTAATGTATATCTCATATAGAATGGAAAAACACACATTATTAGTTGATTCAATATTTTCATGATCACATGAATGTTAAAAATAGGGTCATCACAATTTTTTCTCCATCAATGAGCCTGAAAAATGAATCCCACGAAAGATAAATTATTATAATTTGAAAACTTCAATGTCAGACACGGTAAAATTCTGCCCTCCAGTGAATGTGCAACTAGCTCTTCCAGTCGTATCAATGTATGCTGAAGGAAAACCAGTGGCGTTTGAATTATTCCCATTACTACCATTTACCACGTAGATATCATGGCCACTACCAAATGTAGGACCATAACTGTTGTGATGATAAACTGCATGTCCTGCCTGTGTAGGGTTTATGAGATATTTAGTTGGTGCAATATTGTAAGGATTGATTAAAGTGAACAAAAATGCTGTACTATCATTCTTATACGAGCCATCTGATGTCCATGAAACAGATGTGTAACCTCCAAAAAGATAATTCCCAGTTGATTGAATGATTGTTATTGTTGGACCTTTATTATTACAGCGTGAATGAAATGCATTTGAATCAAACCCATCACGTGATGCTTTGTAAATCAATTCCCATTGTTGATTCATCTTCCCATAAAATTCATTTAGTTTCTTCTTATGTTCGTACTGAAGTAATGTACTATCCGGAAAAAAGCCGACGTATCTATCTAACAGACTATGTAAACGAAAAAATTTGGCTTCAATGAGAAATGCTTTTAGAAGTTCTTCATCTTTTATCACATTGTTAGGTATCATCTCTGTACGTAAATATTCAAGAATGTAAGGAAAGATTGTGCTGTTTCGATCGATGAATATACTTCCATCATCAAGATTTCTTTCAGTCTCTGATGGTTTAGAAAGCATATCGGTGAAGTACGTATTTTGTTCCCGTGTTAATGTCTCAATACTTGTGACAAATTTTTTATCTTCAACATCAAGCACCACTCTGCCTCCAATAGATGTTGTTCCTAGTTTAACTTTGATGTCTCTCCATTCTTTTTCTTCGTTTGATATATTAGCCAATCTGTTTTCTAAGGTTGCAATCATTTCAGTCGCTTGACGACATGATTTTTTAGCAGATTTAATATAATCATAACACTCATTTAACTTGGAAATAACGTCTTCACGTAATTGATTGAAACGAGTCTCGAGTTGATTAGCATTGTCTCGGATGATGTGTAGATCGGATGACGCGTCTTTCTTTTTTGCGGACATTAATTTTTGCGCATTGGTATATCAGTAATGATTGAAAAGAAAAGAAATGATTTTCACTGTTCTTTTTCAGGTTGAAATAGGTGGATTATATATGGCAATTAAACTGAATTCATAGGAGAAAAAAATTGCAATAACTCAATTGTTTGGTTTACTTTCGTTTATGTGCTAGGCTGGAATTAGTTATGCAGCTGCGACACTGACATTTGTTTTAAAGCACTTCAAAATGCCGACAGAACGCAATATGTATGAAATTCGAATCGTTCTTCTATTCCGTGACAAGTAACAAGGAATACTGCGAAGTTGTTTACAAAATATCACCCTGATGTTGCTGATTGATTCATGGTTCGCTGAAAAAAGGTACGGTTGTGAGTATGTACCATCTTTATTAGCTTGAATGGAGATTTGGGTTCAGTGTGGATGAATGTGGATGTGGGTGGATATCCAAGTGCAGGCTGGTGCGCATATGCGAGCATGGCTATGATTTTGGTTCTTTTCTTGCTTTGTACGTCTATTTTTGTCAGAGGAGTTTGGGTGTGGGTGTATGTATGGTTAGGTGAAGGGGTATGGTTGGGTGCGGGTGTGTGACTATGGTTGTCGGCGTGGGTGGGTGTATAGATCTGAATGTGAGTATTTATATGTGTTATCCATATATGTTCTTCTACTTTCTTTTGTTGGCTGCATATACGGACAACTATATCTATTTTTTTTCTATCGTTCGGTTAGATATTTCAGTTGGTATGTTCTTTTGGTCCTTCCTGTACTTTCATTAACTTCTTTGATCTGATAGCTTTTATTTGCCTTCTTCAATCTCTATTATCTTTTTTCTTGCAAAAGTCAAGAAGCCGTTGTTCTTGACATTGAGCTGAAATTCAATGCGTAATTAGTAATACATAACAACATTATATATGTTGATATAATTATATGAGGTGGGATCAGAAGGCATGGGAAAGATTGTTGATAGAGATTTAATAGATATAACTGATGAAAATCCTTAAGCAACCTCTCAAAAAAAAACCATATTCACTTGGACGCTAATATAGGACATATCACACCCTCGCACCTATACCCACACTCATACACCCAAAACTAGGGATGCAATCGTGACTGACAGTGGTCACCGGTATGATCGGTCAACGGTTCACCTGTCTCTCCGGTCCACCGTACTAACCGGTGCCATCGGTCTACCGGCCACTGTAGTAACGGTGCACCGTTCACCGTTCCATCGGTATACGAGCACCGTAGGCATCGGTTATAATGTGTTACAAATAAAGCTACTCAGTTTCAAAGATTTCCTATCGAAAGTGAGGCTGAACATCTCATAGTCGAGAAGTGGATATTTAATTGGTAACCATCTACTTTCTTTGATATATGATCATACTTCACAACGTTAATAAAATATTTCTATATACTGACTGCTCCATGAATGCTCTGTTGACTGTAGGCATACGACAGACAACATCAAGATACTCATATAGCTGATTTTTTTTAGTGCGAGGCTATCTGAGTATGAAAGATACTTATACAAAAAACTTAGGTATGCCGCGTCACAAAATACCTTTAAGGTCAACAATAGCTGTTAGAATGTCAGGAATCTACGGTGATCGCTGGTTTATAACATTCTATCGACTCATCAAGGGTTAGGATAACCAGTAGTACGCTTTAATGCCCATCACCGGAAGTTTTCTTGGCTCTATCGGTGCCATAACCGGCATGATTATCACATTCATCGATGAAGAAACTTTCCATCTACTATAGTGAGCAGATCTGAATTACATCTTTTTAAGCATTACGATTAATCCTAATCGTGTTGGTTTGGCGAGCGGAGACCTATAATGACAGGCAGTTTTTAGTATTTCACAGACTCATTGGAGGTCAGAACAACTAGTAATGGCAATCTAGTCATCGTCATCGTATGTTTTCGTGAATCTATCGGTTCTGTAACTAGCTTCGTAGAGAGTCTCAGAAAAACTTTTTACATGCTGTTTCGTCGTGTACTGAAATATATAGTTTTGTACATCATGATGAAAGTTAAAAATGCTGATGAGAGCGGTAACCTACGGCAATGATCAGTTTGCAGGATTTGACAAGCTCATTGATGCTCAGGGTAGTGAGTAATGAACTTACAACCATCACCAATGTAGGTTCCTGTGACCATATCGGTCCTAAAACTGGCATTGCTATCATACTAATTTAGGAAGAAAACTCTCATTTACAATAATACATCGGTGTAAATGATTTACTTTTAAGTGTCACCATGTAGTCTTATAGTGCCAATTACTAGAGTGGAGATCCATGGTGATAGACGGTTTCTAGCATTTATAGATTCACCTAGGCTCAGGGTAACCAGCAGTGCCAATCTGGTCACCATCACCGTAGGTTTTCGCCACCCTATTGATTCTGTTATTAGCTCTGTAGTCATGTACAACTTGGAAAAGATTTTTCATCATCAGTCTTGTCGTACACTCAGCTATATAGGTTTGACCGTCAATATGAAAGCTAACAATGGAAGTTAGAGAGAGGGAGCCTATCGTTATGGCTGATTCATAGAAGTTTATGGACTAGTTGAGGCTCAAGATAACAGATAATGCCCGTCTAGCAACCACCACCGTAATTTTTCATGTTTATACCGACCATCTCGTTAACCTGATGATTATATTCGTGCGTAAAAGTGTCTCGCATACGACTATACTCTAAAATCAAGAATACGGTTTCAGACTCCAAGGTTAAGGTGAATGCAGCAGTGTAAAATATTGGGGGCGCATTGATGTGGTCGAGTTTAACCATTTTTCAGACACTCGCATGCCTACATCAATCACTGATGCTGTTACAACGAAGACTGACGTAAGTTTTCAGGGTTTCACTGATTCTTTTCTTAGCCGAATCACGGTAATCAAGTAGAAAAGAAGCGCTTCATGTGTCATAGTGCTGTTTAGTAAGAGGTCTAGCTTTGACTATCGTCATTAATGTTAGTGATGCAACGATGATGATAAATATAGGCATGGTCACGGTTTCACTACGCTAACCATCGATACTGAGGTCAGTCACCCTTGGCCGTAAACGGCCGTTCGCTACCCAAATACGGCGAATAACGACGACTGTTTTCGATAGCTGTTTTATGGCGGCTGTCAACGATGTTTTACAGTATATTACGTCAATTGTACACGCTAGTCGTAAAAGTTCACCGTAAACTGCTACCGTAACAATACGGCGACCATATACTTTGGCCGGAAAACAACGTAAGGCATCGTATGCGTCAACCGTTTCCAATTGCCGTTTACAGCAGTCCTACCTAATACATTACGGCATACTACAGCCACTGTAAACATCGGCCGTAAACTATTGCTGGCTACAACCAGCGTGGCAACACGACTGTATACACTACTACTATAAAACGTTGTAAGACGTCCATGTTAAACAACCAATCAAAGCCTGCATTTCTGTATCTCTGTGAAGAGATAGGAGGGAATCCATGCATATACCCATCAATCGATAGAGCGTCCCCAAGAACTACAGGATCACCCGGAACATGACTATCACTTTTTTGGACAATAAGGGAGATAAGTCCTCCGGAAATCTGATTGGTCGGTTTTAACCAGCCAATCAGAGCTCTATTTCTATATCTCTATGAAGAGATAGAAGGGCACCCATACATATACCCATCAATCCATAGAGCGTCCCCAAGAACCCCAAGATCGGCCCGAACATGAGTAACACATGTCCGAACAATAAGGGAGAAAAGCCCTTGCTAAATCCGATTGGTCCATTTCAGTCCGCCAGTCAGAACCCACGTATGCTTATCGGGAGGAAGGGATAGAAGAGTATCCAGAGATATACGTATCAGTGAGTAGAGCATCGTTGGGAATACTGAGATGGACGCGAAGATACCAGTTTAGATGCCTGGCACTGGACTGAAAAAGCTTGTTAGCGCAGCTCCAAAGGAGCTAAAATGTGAAACTCACGTATGTCTTTGAAATTATTCTGATGTCTGATTTTTAAACTGCAAAATAGATTTTTTTCGAGTATTTGTGAAAGCTTTGATATATTATATAGGATGTAAAGCCTTCTATGCGCGTTTGCTGAGGTCTGTAATGGTGGGGTATCTGTAATGAGGGAGGGTGTCTGTAATGGGAGGTATGTCTGTAATGTTCTCTTTCCCGCCATTACGTGTCTGCAATGGGAAGGAGGCGGGGGAGCCGCAAAACCTCGAAATGAAAACTTACACTCACTATTTTCTTTGAAAATATGCGTGAGTTCCACAAAATCGTTGAATAATCATACTGTTGCTTTTGTAGCATGGCGTTATGGTGTTTACGGTAGTCGTATACGATGGCCGTGTACGGTGTCGGAAACGGCTGTATTAGTCGGTCTTGGCTGCCCAGGTCGAGAAGTACGAGCGGGTTCCGGCGGGAAAACACAGGAAGTCACCGGAGCAGAGTAGCAGTATTTCGGCCAGAAAAGTTTCGGATTTTTCCGGCGACTTCCGGTCAAATTCCTCCCGTTTCCTGCAGGAAGATGTTGGGAAGTCACCGGAAAAAATCCGAAAATTTTCCGACCGAAATACTGCCACCATGTTCCGACGACTTCCGGTGTTTTCCTGCAGGAAACGGTGAATTTTCCCGCATCTTTCCTGCAGAAAACGGTGAATTTTCCCGCATCTTTCCTGCAGGAAACGGTGAATTTTCCCGCATCTTTCCTGCAGGAAACGGTGAATTTTCCCGCATCTTTCCTGCACTCTCTAAAAAAAAAAGGAGTTTTGCAGAACCTTTTTTGGGGTTCTGCCAGTGGGTACTGCACAGAACCCCAAAAGAAGGTTCTGCCTGTAAAAAGGTTCCGTAGTAAATTAGCGAATCCATTTCTGCTTTTTTATTAAAAATGGTTCTGTCCTACGTATAAAGTGTTACACCTTTTCAATGCTACACCCCTCTTCTATACCCTTATACTATATACTTATTCTATAACCTTATTCTATGTCCTTACCATTGTAACCTTATTCTATGCCC